ATCCCGTTCCAGTGCTCGATCATTCGTCTTCTTTACCAATAGATATTCCTGGAATGCGAATATTCTCTCTCATTCGAAAGTAGGTACTATATCGGCATATTCAACGAGACTGGTTGCCGGTGCAAGTGGATGGGTTGCCCGTAAAAATCCGAATGGCCACGCAGCTACGTAGAATAAGGATACGAAACACATCGAGGGTTGTCTTTCATCCTAGTGGGCACTTCGGTAAATTCGGTTAATATACAGTCCTTAAATTATGATGCTGGTGTCCAGATCTAGCAGTTTTCAGTTGTCAGAGTCGTGTGGCAAAGCTGGAAGTTATCTTGTGTCTATGTGCGCATTTCAAGACAAATCCGTTTAGTCGCTAAAAAGATACAGACTAACAATATGACTAGAATGATCAGTTGAAATCAAGAAAAAAAGAAAGAGTGAATGCAGCTGCATGGCTGTTTTGATTCGAGCTTACAGAACACAATAAGTCATAGGTGTGAAAAATAGATTAGAGCCAAAGCCTTGCCTGAAAATGTTTGGTTTGGTGATTTCTCACAGAGGAAGGCTCTTTTTTGGACTGCAGATCGGAAATTATGCGTAGATTTCACCTAGGCGATGCTAAACTGTGTGAAGGGACCAAATTTCAAAGTGTACGGTTTTGCTTGTCAACATTAACTGCTTATGCAACACCAGTTTAGAATGTGACTTGGTTTCCAAGTATGCCAGCCATCTCTGCGGTTGTATCTGATTATAAACAATAAAGTATTTGGGCGTACACCTGTCGAAATTGTCAGCTAGATGTCCAAGCAACTGTTTCCTTTACCTTTTTCCTCTGCCTGATACACATGAAAAGATTTCGGTTATCATTATAAGTTTTGGAAATATTCCTATATTTAACTGGGAAAATGTATTTGGCAAAAATGTATTCGACAATTCATTCTGGGGCCTATACAATTGCATTGCTACTGAAAATAGGGGGATTAGAAAGGGCTCATGATTGTCTTATAATTAAGACTCATTTGTTTCACATCACATACATGACGAGATCAGCATCTAGAGGTCATTAGACTGGGAAAGATGGGAGAAATATAGTAGGCTGCGGGCATTGGTTTTGGGTTAAGCACGCGGAGTGCAACTCACTGTCACGTGCACGGAGGGAAAAGCTGCGGCGAGTGGGTGGGGGCGAGATGTGATCGTCATCTGGCATCGGCCACGGAAGAGAGGGTGCCTGTATTAGCGCCTTCTGACAGCACGGCAATGGATTCGCTAACCTTAAGGCCACTAACTCGGCTGTCACTAGCACCCTTTGGCGTACGTCCTTAGAAAAGTTGGCTGCTCTCTGGTAGACAAACTGAAAGGCTTCGAAATCGATCTAGTTTACTCTTTAATTAATGCCGTTGGTATGTGTAAGCGTACCCTCTTTTTCAGGCGCCTCGTTGTTCGGTCAATGTATACTGCTCCAAAGGAGTAAGTGAAAAAGTAAAAGCACATCGATGTGGCCTTAAATTGGATCGTTATCTCCCAAGCGTAAGAAGTAAGAGGTCTTGAAGAATACGCATGGGTTCGCCGCAACTGCACAAAGGACAGACCTGTTCAAAAGACAGCATTAATAAGGCGATGCAATAAGCGGGCTGATAAAACGGCGTCTGAAGGCTTCGATCACGAGCGTCTTCCCCGCGGCGAACTTACGCGTGTTCTTCACGGATAATGAAAAGCAAATAATGAAAACAAAGCTGTCTGTTTGTGGAGTCCACCTTGAAATGCTGTTGTCGCTTGTTACAATCGAGTCGTTTCATTTTCCGCGTATGAAACTTCATCTTGCGATCCAGCTGGAACTGTCTGACTGTGCCACTCAGATTTTAGCGTATGCTGAATGTTTTCAACAGTTCAGCTGACAAAACGTTCGATCATTGTCAAGTTTATTCAGTTTATTTCAGTTGATTTGCTGAGAAAAATAGGCAGTGCCTTTAAAAACCCTCTTTGTTACACACCGGTTCTTCATACACATCTGTACAAGCACATATGCAAATTGCCACTTGGTAAGTGGTATTCACAAACAGTGAGTATCTTGATTGTGTAGAGTTAGTTCGAGTTCATACTGTCGAGGGATAACCGCGGCCATACATAATTACCCAAACGTTTTTTGAACAGCCGTAGGGATGTAGCCTCCACGATTGCGGGAGACAAACGGTCATAGGTCATTTCAAAGCACACAGTTCCGTATTTCCCATTCCCATATATATAAGCTGCCACTTGGCTATGTCCTTAAGTTTAGACTTGCTAGTTCGACGTACACATTTATGCAGTACGTCACATGGGACACTGTGAAATCGGCTGTGAAACATGTTGTTATTTGAGCAGCTGAAGGAGCCATGGCTCTTAAAGGCAGAGGGATTTGTATTTTGTGACACGATCGGCCATTTTTACGTTCTAAAGTATCCTACACTATTTCATATTAACCTTTATAGCACTACCCGGACATGGCGGTGGAATCGATAAATGTGAAACTGGAGCGCCTTACCACCCACGTTCTCGAACTCCGTCGGCGTGTCGAGTAAGAAACTCTTTCTTTCATGTCCATCCCATGTCCTCTTTACCC